GGCGGGCTCCTCCGGGGCTCTGCCGAGGCCGAGGCCGAGGGGAGCCGCCTGCGGTACCGGCTGCATTTCCCGCCGCGCCGGCCTCGTCTCTTCGGTGCGCCAGGGCACGATGGGGTTTGTCTTCTCGAAGTCCATGAGCGACAGCCTGAAAGCTCAGCAGGAGTTTATGGCCATGAACTCACGGCTTCAGGTAACGCATAGGCCGGCGGCAGTGTGGAGGAAGGTCACCCACGGCCGCTGCCTGCACGGAGCTGGCCTGGCGGCTTCGGCCGCTGCGGTTTGCTCTCCTTCCGCAGGTAGAGGTGCTCCGTTTGCACTCTGCCAGTTCCCGTGTGCTCATCTAACTCGGCAAGTTCAGACGTGTGAAGCACCTTTCTTTAACCATTTCCCCGGGAAGGCTGTGTTAACAAGCTGTAGAGGTGGAAACTATCCTTATGCTAGCGAGACCCTAAAAATAGTTCTGGAAACCTACCTCAAGCTGTCCCCTAAAGCACAGCCGGGCTGCTCCAGTGTAAAGTGACATGTTAAAGTGAATCAGAAACAGAATGTTTACTAGAACATGGATACTATTCCCTTGAGTTAAACATGTTTCAACTCTGTCACTATACAAAATCTTTCAAACAGCTCTTTCTTTAGGTTCAGTCAGACAACTGCAGTTATTCCACATTACTAGGAAAACACTATACAACTGTTCATTGTTGTAGAAACCTGAGGCTAAATAGGTCGTAAGGGATTGTTTATTCCCTCTCATAAAACAATAAAATAGGAGCAGAGCAAGAGAAGGAAAAGGAGTTGGACCAAGGTTCAGAAAGTTGTCCTGAATGGCAGTTACAGTGTAGCAGTAGTTAGAGCTTTCTAGTTTGTTTTTCGGTATCTTAACAATTTGTAACTTGTTTCTGTACTAAACGGTAAAATGCAATCTGAAGGATTTAGCTGGAGTTTATCCCTTTAGTTTTGCATTTAAAGCAAATAGAGGTGAACTTAAAATGTTTAGTGATGGATGAACTTCCAATTTATTAAAATGCCAGTAGATGGCATATTCTAGTTTTCAAAGTAGCATGCAGATACTAAGTTTTGTAGGATCACATGCAAACTAAGCTCTGGAGGTGACACTGGAAATGTGGCTAGGAAGGAGAAAAATACCATAAGGAAAGATAATGTAATAAAATACTGGAAAACTCTTAACTGAATAAAGAAAAACAACTCTTTGCAAGGATTGTACACACAATTTTCTGTCTGTGCTTGGTTATCTGTTTCTCAGATGCATGCACAGGTTTTGTGTACAAACAATTTATTTTTTCCCTATACAGAGAGACTCCTCCAACTCCCAAAGTTTTTGGAAATCCAAATGACGAGAAGGTTTTCATTTTGAGAGAATGATGGTGAAATTAAAGTGGAGGCTTGCTTTATGATCTGCTTCTCTGCTGTGCAGAACGAAAGACGGAGTTGAGGAAACAGCTTAAATTCAGTCTAGCATTTGTAGAGTGCTGCAGGCTTTGAATGGCAGTCTTTGGCTTCTTGACCTCAGGTGCCTAACAACTCTAGTGCTAGCCCCAGTGCTCAAGCCAACATAAAAAATAAACTTATTTGAGGACAGTTACAAAAAAGCTACAAAAAAGCCCTTTAAAGATTGAATACAGTGTTTTTGCAAGTTGTTCTTTAATAACTCTGCCTGTGTTGTATTTCTTCTTTTTGACAATAGTAACTGTAAACATAGTATTTATTTCTAATACTACAAATGCAGATCGTATCTGATTTGTGCTATGTTTGCAGACTTACCATAGAAAACCTGCATCTTTTAAAAATGCATAAAGTGAGCAGTTACGTCAGATGTGAAAGATGCAGTGGGTGCAAGGGGAGTACTTAATTCTGTGTTATAAAGGGATGGAAGAAGATAGCTCTGCTCTGAGCTTGGTGAGAGTGTAGGGGAGAGGAAAAGACTGTCATTTTTTTGGCAGTCTTCCATATGTGAGTAAAACCTGTGATATGTCTGGAGTCTAGTGTTTAGGCAAACTACTTCCAGGCTATTTGTGGAAAATAGTATGGTCTTATTTATTTGTTTTTAGACAGAAATTGTAACTACAAATACCTGGAGAAGTTAGGTCATGCTAGGACCAGAATGAAATAGCTTAAGTTAAAGCATGAGATACTCTCTTTTGGTGAAATACTGGGATGTGGATGCTGTCAGTTCTCCCATCTTCCTCTGAAAACCATCATATTTGCTCATAAAATAGAAGCTTCCACTTCAAGCAATATGATATATTTGGTATGAGAGATTCAAAAGTACTGATTTGTTTCAAATTTAAATCTATCCCAAAACAACACGTGGGATTGAAACATTGTAGAGATTTTCATAGCTTCTGAATGTGCTTTGGTGTACCCCCATGGTTACAGCATTGAGGGAATAGGGTACTATTGTTTCTCAAAGCCAATTGGTGTGGGTCAAGAAGTCATCAGAATTGTTTCTTCTAGAATGCTCTCCCTGCTAGCAGTGATGGTGTGATAGTGCTTAGAAAAAAAAAAATAAAAATAGGAGGTCTTTGGGTTGACCTGGACCAAGACACACAAGGTGTTGGTGACACAGTCAGAATCCGTGAAGGCTTCTTCTGTTCCTTGTAGATGAAAGATGAAGAGGAATAATAAAGGTACTGTAAATTGGTTGGAATAGGAATTTTGTGCTATCAATTTCATGACACAATACGTGCTCTCCTCTGAATAGAGGGAAGATACAAAGCTGTTCAGTCATTGACTTATCCTCTGTGGAGGACTGTAAGTTGGAAGGAGACCACTGCAAAAATAGAAAGGCAAGTAACATGACAGAAGTTGATAAAGACCCCTCCAAATACCAAGCCTTGGTGCATGCTAAAGCTTGGTCAGTTTTAGAGTTGCTCTGATGTGTGCTGGGCACCCTAACCACTTCAGAATATAGAGAATGGTAAAAGATGTTGTAAAGTTGTGTACGTATTTTTTCTTTATAACCTTCTTGGGATAATTCTGAAAAGAAGGGATTGTGGCCTTGTAAATTGTTTCTTAATGCTTTTTGGAAGAATAATAAAAGCTCAACTGATGGTTTGCCTTGGTGTTGAAGGACTTGCCAGTTGTTTGTATTGTCTTGGTATGGCTCCAGCATGAAATACCAGTCTGTATCAAGTGGAGACTGTTTATGGTAGAAGTTTGTTGAGGCTTCATTTTTATCATGAGCCTGTTCCTTAAAGTGTAACTTGCAAAATTCTTTCCAAACACTTAATATCTCAGATCTACAGCTCAAGCCTAGCATATGGCCTTGCTAAGTGCTTTTATCATGGCTGAATGGGTAAGAGGAGGTTCCAGGTCTCAGAGCATTTGTAGCAGATTATTTATTTTCATGAATTGTGTGGGTGCTCTTAACACAATTAAAAGCAAGAATTTAATTTATTTCTTTTGCTGAAGTTCTATGTGCTGTACTTTCTGTTCTGGTTAGAACTTTATTCCACAACTCAAATATACCTTGAAAAAGCTGTTTCAATAACTATTTACTAAGAAAGACATTTTAAGACATACAAGGCAACTTGGAGAAAGATACACATTTTGAAATTGACAGCTAAGAATGCACCAATATTTGTGGCTGATCATTCATTCCTCAGTATGGATTAGAACACTTAAAATAGAAAATTTTTTTAATTTGATATTTCTAGACTGTGACATTTCTCGACCATCAGGTGGGTCTCTTCATAGGAAACTGTGAATTCTCATACTTTGAAGCTTGCTAAAGACTTTATTATGATGAAACAGGTTTAAGTATGATTAGTATATAAGTACATTGTCTTCAGATAATTTAAAAAATATTAAAACAGCCTTGTATGCTCTATACGTAGTGTTATTTAGAGTGATAAGAAGGAAAACCTTGGTAGAAGGTCATGGCACAGTATGACTGATTCTAGGACTGCACAGAGCAAAGCTTACTAAATTAACTTTGCACTACAGAAGAATATTTCTGTGCTGATTTGTAAAAGACATTCTAAGTGCAACTTAAACAATTTTACTTTAGGGTATAGACACAAAAACCACTAAGGTTTCCTGTGATTTTTTTTTGCCAAGCTTTGTCGTGGATGTAGAGGAATCAAACCCACTTCCTTTTGTTTTGAATGGACTCAATAGTATGCCACTCACTCCTCACCATCCCCAAGTTAGATTTTAGTTTATGCTCAGCTGTTATTTTTATAGAGGTATTACCACTTTTGGCTCTAAAAGTTGCTTTTCCTTGTTTTGCTTAGGAAACTCTACGCAGGTTTCCTATATATAGTCTAAGTATTCAATGAACTACATGAAAGGTAATCAGAGGAGGCTGAGATTTTGTTTTATTAGGGGGGTTGTGGGTTATTTTTCCAGGGGTATTATAAGAGCTCAGTGATATAAAGATATCTCAATGTGTGTAGGAATAATACTGCATAGTAAACAGTGGCTTCTAGTCTATGGAGTTAAAAAAAAATTAAGTCCTTATAGCATTTGAAATCTTTGGTAACTGTTTTCAATTATATCTCAATGTATAAGGTGTTTTCTTACTTAACGAGAAGAAATTTTTCATTGGAACTTCACAAAGAATTAGTGGTAGACCAAGTCCTTTAATGACTAGTCTTTTTACTCATTCATATGTTAGCTTGCAACATCATTAATAATGAGATCTGAATTGATGACTAGTTTACAGTTTTGTTATATCACGCTCTTTTTTTAGCAGGAGATGACCAAAATGGGAAGGGACTGACTGATTTGTTTGTGGTATCTTTATGTATAACAATCATACCTAAGGGATTAAGCACTCTCTTGATGTTTTCTAGCTATTGAAGTTTTCACCTAGATACTGTTGTGGGAAAATTGTACAAAAATGCAATGAGGAGAAAGAGAAACACTGGTTTTGATCAGAGAATGGAAGACAAAATTCTGTTGTATAGGGGACTGCCGTGAAGTAAATGAGGGCAGGTCAGCTCAAAAAGCAAGAATTGTATAGCTAGAGTTTAAGCCATGTAGAAAATACTAATTCCTAGCTTTGTTGACCTGCTAAATGTGATACTGATCAGGTTCTAAACAATTAACTTCTTTCTGTGGTAATTTAAAGCACAAGGAATTCTCTGAACAATTGCAGAATGTTTTTATCTGTTAAAACAAAACCAAAACCAACCAAAAACCAACAAACCAACAAACAAACAAACAAAC